TTTTTATATATTAATAATATTATTAAATTATATAAATAATTAATAAAAACTTGTTTATATTTTACTATCAATATATTATATTTTTTATATCGTTTAATCTTTTTTAACAAAATTATATTATTTCAAAATTTAAGATGAAATAAAAATAAGTAAAATTCTTCAAAAAAATAAAAAAACAAGGATCTATAAGATTTAGGTTTATAATTATCTATTCTTGTATTATATAAGACTTATATATATTACTTTTACTTTAAAATAAAAGGTTTTTAATATTATATCATCGATTTTTTCTTTTTAAAACTTTCTTATTATAGATAGAAAAGATATTTTTTGACTTTTCTTGATCATTGATTTTGTATATATATATAAAAATACGAATAAAAGTAATTTTTAAAAGTATTTTTCAAGTTGTTTTAAGAAAAGTAGTAAAATTCTATTAGTATAAAAGTATACTATAAAACTTCTTGTGAATATCTTTTTATATATTATTAAAGAATCAATAGAAAGAGTTTTTTATATTTATATTTTTGGTTTATTAAATCTATGAATTACATATTTGTAATATAAATTTTTGCATATAGTATATTATATTTAAAAATAAATAATGAAGAATTTTATTTTTAAATATTCTAATCATTCGGCAATATAGATTTATAAATAAAGAATATAATTGAATTAAAGGAAAAACACTCCACGATTAGCATTTAAGGAAGAGTTTGCATTTAGAGTTAGCGCATTTAAAGGGACTGATGCCTAAGCTTATTCCTTTTTAAATAAATTCATGATCATCTTGTTGACTTCACACATATGATTTGTGCAGCCGTTGTTTATAGTTGTCGTATGACGCTGTCCTTAACTTGTTCAGATTTCGATTTTCTAAACGCAAAAAAAACTTTATGCCCAAAAGAGTCTCACTCCATAATTAGAAGACGACTTCTACGCGAGGTCATAAATTTACACATTTAGATACGTCATCAACGATTGATGGCTTATTCTCTAACCTAAGCCGCGCACAGCCTGACCAAGTAATGTTTTCTTGTTTTTTTTTTAAGCCACTCATTGTTCAGGTCGAGTATTGTTCTCGAAATAGGTTCCTGGTAAAAGAGAATCATGTTTTCGAACTTAAGTGACTTCAAATTTTCGAGAAAAAAGAATGAACCTTCAGGACTACGTACGTACCGATTCTATTAATAAAAATTTCCACGGATTTAAAATTTGAGATGAGAGGTTCGTTTCTCCTTGAACGACCAAGCCTCAACCATGTGCAAGTCATAGTCATATAATGCGTAAGAGGCTTTGACATACACATAACCGAAATTCTTATAAATATATAAACACCATCGGCTCAACCACAAGATCCACTTACACATAATATAATACATCGACTTCCCTTTATTCCATCAACCAATTCGACAAAAAAGTGCATTTTACAAGTACTTCGTACGACATGTACGAATGTACATTTAACAAATTCATATAATAAATAATTTGATTAAACTGTGTAGGCCTCAAATTTCATTCCGACATACGATTCATCTAACAAAGTCCGAGTAAAATAAACCTTGTGGGGCAGGAAGGGCTCACACAATGGTCGCGAGGAATGTGAGAGCCGCCAAGACGAAGCTTGCGAATTAAATTATATTGCTTTTTTTGAGGGTGCTCGTCCTTTTCTTTTATCTTAATTGGGACCGTTTTCTGTCCAATAAATCGACCCTCCTTTTGAATTTGGTGAGTTAAAGCAAATTCAACTTTCGCACTACCTATGCACCGTCTACGAGAAACTGACTCAAATCGCTGTAAAATTATAGTTAATGTAGAATGTACTTAGCTCACATTCACGCCTGATATATGAAGATGGGAAACCTTTTCGGTTACACGAATAATGCAATCGGAATTCTCTCTTCGACGTAAGCCATTTATCAATTACAATTACATTTCTGCCTACGGATTTCTGACCCATGTTCTAATCCTATTTCAGTCAAATTTCCTCGCTCAACGACCATACCTCACCGCATTGATCTTTAATCATCATCATCCGAACTTGTATTTTGTGTGTGTACACACACATACTTTCTCTCGATCTCATTGACGCGCGCGCACGTTCCATAAAAAGATATCTTTCGGTCCTTCAGTGATGGGCTGCCCATATTCGAAAAAAAATATAAAAAAAAAAATAAAAAAATAAAAAATAAAAAAGGCGAATTTGTTTTGTTCACGTATTTTCACATATTTCATTTTATATACACTCAACTCAAACATTAGCATATCTTTGTGGGTATACCACATACGCTCTCCTCATTTCATTTTCAGCATCCAAAGTAAATTTGAATTATATATACTTTTTTTTTTTTTTTTTTTTTCAATTTACTTTAGATACTTTTTATCAGCGTATAGGGTGGCTCACATTTATCATGTTGTATATACTTTACATTTGTATAATTAATGTTTCGGTGGCAAACAGATTCGGAATTTATAAATTCTCGTTTCTTCTGTATAAATAATAGCTAAAATAAAAATCTCAGTGCTCATCAAAAAAAAAAAAAAAAAAACATCCCTTACGTGTGCGTTTGACTAATTTACGTTTGCCCTGTGGCCAAAAAGGTAAATTAACCATTAAATTTTACAAGTTTTTTAATAACATTAGGCGATTGATATACATATTATTCAATTATTGATTGATGGTCAAACGCCTTATCACGAATTACTACTGTACATAAAAATTTATATTCTCTACAGAGATATAGGCATTTATTTTGTACTTTGTACAGTATATACTTGGTATATATTTATAAAATGAAATAAAATAGATAAAGTTAACAATTATTTGCGTTAGAAAAAAAAAAAAACTTTTTTTTCTTTGAATACAGTAAATAAATATATCTTCGGCACGTATTGTTTACTGTGCGCGAATGCAATCCTTGAAAATTGCACGTAGGAAAGGATGAACGAATCTGTCGTAAACATTCATTCGCGCACGCATCTCCTATATAAAATGAACATGACAATTGCAATACGATGAATGCTATATTTACCGCAAAACTCGCAAGTCTGTTGTTATGATAGTTATAATTTCAAATGCGAATGCGAAGAGGAAATTGCACCTTCGAATAAATTAAATGCTAATTTTACACGGCATTTTTCAATTCACGTAGCCGATATTGAGTAAAGCATGTTTCTCTCGTCTTTTTTGACCATCTATTCCTCCGTTATACCATCCCGTTTATTTTGTCTCGCCTTTCCCATACCCTCTTACCCTTTCGCTGCTAGTTTTGATATAAGATTCCTTTTTGTTCATGGTGTTTTTCAGGTAAACAAAGTTTTGGCTGAACACATTTTCAACATTGTTTGAAATATGATTTTCCTTTATCGGAGTGATCGATCGACAGCGCAGGGATCTCGAAATGTCAAAACATATTTCGCGCCGGCCAGTTTGCATGAGATGAATCCACACAGTGAATACAGGTCTCCAATAAGGATGTTGCAGGAAGTCCCAGGAGGGTTCTTTTATCGGATGCCAATCGTGCGAAGAATTCTGTCGTGCTGAAATCTTTGTAATGTCATAGGATTGAGGATTTTTGATGACCCTGTTGAAAAGTTGCAAAAAAGTTTCGGAGGAATTAATCTTTAGATGTGTAGGTCCAATTATCAAAACTCCTTCAAGTACTACGCGAAGTACTATTGAGCTCTTCGACGGATCTTTCATGGTTTTATTTTATTTTGTTTTGTTTTTACCAAGATTTCCCTTTTTGAAGGAGAATGCGAACCGACCGTGGTAGGTATTACTGTATTGTCAACGCTACGCTCACGTAAATAAGTGACAAGTATTGCACATACGGTTGGAAGCTGATGTTCCGTTCACATTGATTTATTCGAATATTTGATATAATCATATTGATATTCCTTGATTCATCAGTTGACAAATAAACTATCACCCACAATCAAAATCGGTCGTATGACGATCGGCGTTTCATACTACCTTCAATCTTTGGAAGCATGAATCAGAAAATGTTCGGATGATATCAAAGGACGTCTGACTTCCCCGATATCTGCCGGTTGATCCCTTGGATTTTCGGAGTTTAACCAATATTGATCTTATGATATAAACATCTTTACAAATTACACCTTTTCAAAAAAAAAAAAAAAAGAAAATTTTTTAAAATTTAGACTCGTGTAAAAAAAAATTTTTTTTTTTATTCATATTCGTTTAGAAGCTAATAATTTAATATTCTTAAAAGTTTATTTTTAAACCCAATTTTATTCATTACGAAAGTATGTTCTTTTATTATGATTGATCAACAGGTTAACGAATCAGTATCACGAAAGATACAACCTTCCTTCACAAAATGAATTTTAACTTTCCACAACAATATGTTGAGTGCTTTTTTTAAAAATGCCGATTTAATTCTTAAAATAAGTTTCTATTTATTCATAACACGAATAAAACATTCAAGAACTTTAAGATCTTAATAATGATAGTCATGATAAAATATAGTATGTTTCACCATTGTATGACACGGAGCCTTAATTACGTATGATACTGTAATTCAATAAAATAGGAATATCACGAAACAAACTTCCTTAGTAGAGAACCAGTTTATATAAAACATATGATAACGCGAATACAGAATTTTTTTTTTTTTTATCTTTATAACCATATAATTTATGACAAAATTGTTGCATCGAAGAATTTGATTTTCCATTCACAAATTCTTCCGATGACACAACATGTTTCTTCATAATTATTATTACTCCGAAATTAAGAAAGAAGATACGGTATTATTCAACCAATTTCAAATTAAGCATTCCTGGTTCTAACCTAAATTTTAGTTTGACTCCTCGAAACTATGAATCATTATTAATCCATCTCTTAAACAAATCCAATGAATTTTTCGGCTGGTAAAATGGAACTTCATGACCAGACTCGTATATCTTGACAAACCATAATTGACCAAAGCTACGAATTTGACCGGCATCTTTATCGTCAACCTTCCAACACTGCATTGGGGCGGCATTAAATTCAACTTGGTTTTCCCATACAAGCTGGTTCGCTACATCAATGCCCCCAAACCTATACAAGATAGAAGGAGTGTGAGAATGACAGGATCAACCTTTCAATAGGGTTACTAACTGGAGGCTTACCAATTACAGATGTAGTCGGCATCGCCGTGATAAAGCATGACGCGAATGTTATTTTCAAGGAGATATTCTACGTGAGGTTTATACGTGCGAACACTACAAAGATGAAAAAAACATCATAAATCCATATTCTCGTAATAATGATGATAATGATAACGATAATAATAATTTGACGTACTCATCCCCAGTCTTAAAGAATTCGTCAAAGACTTTGTCCGAGCATTCGATAAACTTCCTATTA